CCTGAGTTTATTTAGATTCTTCTTTTTCGAGGCCTGAACAAAAGCAGTTTGCACATTTAAAATTTTCTGCTAAACATATTTTTATAGAACATGATTATACCTAAAACAATAATATATTTCAATTTACTTGTGATCTTTGTTAAATATGTGCACTAGGAAATATATGTAAATTGGTCCCTTGAGGTTTAAATCTCTGATATTTTTATAGAACATGATTATACCTAAAACAATAATATATTTCAATTTACTTGTGATCTTTGTTAAATATATGTGAACTAGGAAATATATAAATTGGTCCCTTGAGGTTTAAATCTCTGTAGCATTATGTGATTGATAGTTCTTTTTAAGTGTTCCTTTGAGGGGGGGCGTAGGTCTGTTAGAAATAAGCATATCTGAAACCATTACCTTAATTGGTGATGGTAGCAGCATAGTTTGATACATATCATATTGTTGTTTGCCATATATGCACATTCCATAATCATTTAGAATTCCAGTTGTTTGAATATACTAGTTATTTTGTAAGTTTTTTTTATATACATAAACACTTTTGTAATAATGGATCTTTTTGTAGCATGTTTAATAATGTTTCAAAGTATACATAGTAGATATAGTAAGGTTTACTTTTTGTGATAATTTATCTGTGATAAAAATACAGTGTATTCATTTTGTTTTTCAAATTATAAATAAAGTTAGAAATACGTGTATAAAATAGAAAATTTTGAGTCATTATTTCTTTTCCCCTTTTATTGATTTTTTGGTAATTGCAGTGCACAGAAATTGTGCAAAGCCATATTTGTTTAAAAAAGAGATTGAATTGTGGAGCAATCACGTACATTTTTTCTCAGCATAACAATCCTTTTTATAAAATCCATAACGAAAAAAAAACTTTCATAACTACATGCATAAACACATAAATGGTATTTTAATTTCAAATTATTACTGAAAATTCCTATATAGTAATAAATTAATAAATTTGTACATATTAGAAGACTAATTCATAAACAAAAAAATTCAATTCTGGACTTAAACTCACACCACTTCCTGATGCAAATTACTTTTACACAATAAAAACGGATACAAATCTAATTGTTACCAGTTCTATGGTTTAAATGCATATTGCAACATTCAGGCTGAAAAACGAGTTACTTGTTCCAAGTCTCTAAGCGGGCCACCAAGCGTTTCATGTTTTGAATAACTACAGGTGATACTTTAAACACAATTTTATAAACCTGGAGAGTTAATTCCAGAGTTTTGACTAGATTAGGTCCATAAAAGAATAACCCATCGTCATGGCCTGCTGTGAGAAACCATCCCTGCTTTTGATTTTCCTTAATAAGTTGGCGAATGGCTTGAGCTAGTTCATACGAGCCATATTCCACATCTTTGGCTGTCTTCAATACTTCATCATCTGGCGATAATAACAGTGCCTGCCACAGGACTGGGGAATGAACGTGGATTATGGCCTGAATGTGAGGACTGCTCTCGTAGATAGCAGCATGCGTAATGGCTTCACTGCTGGGTTTGATGCAACCATGAGCTTTGATTCTGTACTTCTCAAAATCATACTCCGTCACCACAGCAAAATGTTTCCCAGAATCAAGAGCTTTAATTGTACCAGTCTGGGTTCCTGTGATGCAAAATGTCTTTAAAGTGTCCTCCCTCTGGTCTTGCACTGGTAACAGCTCGCTGACATTTCCAAATCCAAGACCCTGGTAGGGGCCTGACAAATACTGTCCAACCAAGTGTAGATTATAAAGAAAATCCCGAACAAGCTTTATTCTATCTGCGCTCCTCCTTTCAATTGCAGTGAGGATGGCATCACTGTGATCGATATCAAACTTGATGACCCCTTCTTTTGGAAGTCCAGAGCTCTTCTTTGGTGCATGTTTACTTTGACTTAGGCGAACCAACTGGGACTGCACTAGGCCAATAAAAGATACTGCATGCAGCATCTTGGCATACAACCCTTAAAAGGAAAAAAATGAAAATTATGTGACTGCTTACTGCACTACCAGTATATTGCATTCTACCCATATCAGCAAGTATACAGTGTGTGTGTGTGTGTGTGTGTGTATACTGTATATATATATATATATATATACTCAGAATACTAGCAATATGTAACAGTCAATATGATAACTCTGGTTAATTCATTTTTATTTTTAATTAATGATTAAATACTTTTTTAAAATAACTGTCCATTTTTCATATTAAATTCCAAAAGTTGCCGTTTCATTTTGGTTATAATTGACATTAGTTCAAGAGCAAAGAAATTTGGATTTAAGTACAGAGACTGTTACATTGATCATAGTGATCATGAATTGTACGGGGAACCAATCACAATTAAGGTTCAAAGAACAAATCACTCGGCTCACCGTCGATTGATTCCTGCGTCATCATGATCATATCAGATAGCCGGAAATTGTCGAGGAGTTCCGAATGAGAACAAATTTTAAAATTACACATTAAGTGACATTCTGTTTTGACAAATAAGTTTGTATATCAAAAATGCATCATTTTTCTCTTTCACTGAATGTATATCTATGTGTTAAAGTGGTTAAAAAAAACTGATAAGACATCATATCTACATGTACATGTGACGGTGATGTACAGTAGTGAATGGCTCAAAGTTTAACGTAGACGTAAAAGCCTATATCGACATTAACATTTACGTTTTCTGCATCACTCACAGTTGACAAAACTAACCTCTAGTCAACAAGCTCCCCTGGCTTAGCGAGTGAGAGACCTGTCGTCCAACTGTTAACAGAGACGGGGCATCTACACGGGCAAACAACTTCCGGTTATTTTGGTGTGAAGTATCGGTGTATGGTTTTTCCCAATCAAGTAATTAAAACTGCAAGTGGACAGAGAGAGAGAGAGAGTCACCCTGGGAAACTTATGTATACATTTTTCAATCTAGTGCTATCCTCCTAATTATCCATAATTTCGAAAAGACACTATCTTTCCTCCACAATCTTAGTGGGAATATTCAGAAGCTATATTATATGTTATGACCGGTGCGGGATGATGCAGAAAAAAAAAAAAAAAAAAAAAAAAAAACTCAGGGTGTGCAGACTTCCCCCAAAACAACTTAATTTCATTATTCATTTATAAGTTAGTTAATCCATTCATTAATTGATTAGGATCTAACTTAGTTAATTCTCATTTTTACTATTTTGAAATAACTTAAATTTTATCGTGTAATAAGCTAAAATCTCATTAGCCTATTATCTTTTATAAGGTAATTAAGTAAGTATTTAATCACCACACACAC